CGCCAAAAACTTTTTCGCGAAATTATTTGTATTGAATCAAAATCCACCGCAAGTGTACGATTCGTTACAAGTAGTAAAATAGACTATAAGTCCAAGTATCGATCCCACGAGGATTGAATTAGTTCAAATTAATCTAATATGACCTTAACCGAAAAATGACAAGCAAACTGCGTTCTTGTAATTTAACTAACAAAATGTAATCGTTGATGCAATTATTGACTAAAGATTATACTAAGTTCAAAATAACTTGGATGCAATTTAACTAAAATTTTATAGAATTAATGAATGTTCTAACTCACTAGGATCACGAATCCCCAAGCAATACCCGTTCAATAGTTATTTATGCAAATTTGACACACAATTCCACAAAAGATGAATCGATATTCCTATTTTAATTTAGCAATCTCTCTCGAGCAATGCCAAACCTATCCCAATATATGATTCGACTATATTTCTATGACGAATACTAATATACCGACATGCATTATAATTCACGAATATCAATTGATTCACACAAGGCATAGAGATATATTTCTATCCTCTATCGGACCCTATGACGATTTATACTATGTCGAACCTATTTTCCTTCTTTCGAATGCATAAAATAGGTCATCACATTCATATAATCACGTACACAATAATTATATGAAAATAAAAACGAAATAAATCAATCAATTCCGAAATTGGTGTTTACATACGTAAAAAATCCAAAATAATAATTAACGTGGTATTACAAGGTTCATCGATCTCCTAATAGTAATAAATTTAGACTAACATGTTAAAAAAACAAAACTTAAAACTATTTGAAGAAACGACATCACCCGAATCAATATTCACTCCAATCTTCAATTGGGGCAGTGTTTATATCTTGCTTTCTCCCTTGTTTCTTCTTCAAAATCTCCCAAAAAACATGTAAAAATGGCATCCCCTTCGTTCTGGTCGAGTTTTTGTATTTATAGAACCCTAAAATTTTGTTTCCATAAGAGTTTCGGAAGAAAAAGGAAACCAAAATTTTCTTCAACTTTTTGTTCTATGCGACCACATAGAGTAATTCTATGCGGTCGCATAGAAGGAATTTTTCACCCCTTTTTTCTTTTGGTATGGTACTATGCGATCGCATAGAAGATAATACTATGCGGTCGCATAGTACTATCTACTATGAAGAAATTGCGTTTTGGTCCTCCAACTTGCATCATTCACTTCTTAGCATCTTCTCTTCATTCTTTTCATTTCATCACCCCACGGAATCGTCAATTTGGCAATTGACCTAATTGATTTTTCGATTTGTTCATCGGATCAACTTCTGGATATTTGCACTTTTGGTCCCTGAACTTTCACTTTGCGTCACTTTAGTCCTTTTCGCATCTTTTCTCCTAAATTTCACCCTGTTCATCGTTGTTTTTTACAATTCACAATTGTACAAGATTAAATCACATTTTAATCATTTTACTCGTATTTAAGTCATGTTTGTGACCTAAATAAGTGTGTAAAAACACACTTATCAATGTACATCTTCATTATGTTTGTATTGGCACGTGCATATTTTTCTATTGTGTGTGATTTTTTTATTTTTATTTTTTGTTTTGTTTTGTGTGCTTGGAGCATTCATGTGTTAAAATAAAAACAAAAAAAATGGAAAAATGAAAAATGTAAAAATGTAAAAAGGGAGGGGAGGGGAGAAAATTGTTTTTACAGCATAATATATAATATACTTGAATGTATTTATTGTAATCAAGTATGGGCATAATTGATAAGCTGTCGCATAGTTTTCCATTGCTCGCTTAGGTTATTATAGAGTACCTAGTATATGTGTCTTCATGTACCATATACATTGCACACACTATGATATTGTTAGTGGGACTCAATCATGTGTGTGATATTTGGGATGACAATCACATGTTAGTAAGGTGACTTTGAATATGAATTGACCAAATTTATTAGATATAAACTCAAATATATTCCCCAATTTCGATTATATAAAAAGCTCAATATCGCACGTTCTTCTTTGGAGCTTATTTGACTCGAGCAATTAAGCATGCTGGGTGTCTTAAGACCTAGTGCTTATGGTCAACTGACTTGGGTTAATCGATCTAAAACTCACTACATGGGTCATCTTGTCGCTAAATGAAAAAAATATGTACTTAAGATGTAAAAAAATGATGAGCTTTAAACAGTGTTCTAAAAGGCATAATACGTAGAGGTTAAGCTACGGGCCAAGCGAGCTTAGGCAAGACATAAGCACAAAAAAGCGTAAAAATTTGTTTTCTTATTTTAATATTATTTTAATTTTTAATAAATAAAAAAATCGTTTGACAATTAAAAATAATACCAATCAAACATCTAAAACAAATTTATAGGAAATTTATACATTTTTTCAAAATTTTCAACAAAAAGATATGTTCCAAATGTAAATATTAAATAGTAAATAAATAGCAATTTTTGGGAGATTTCCTTTGTCCAATGCTTCTAGCGACTATTTTGAATTTAGATCCGACAAAGTGAAAAATCAACATTTAAGTTTTTAATTTAGAAGAATTGTATAAAAAAAAATTAAAAATTAGGAAAAAAAGATAATTATGCGCGCATAATCGCGCCTAGGCACGCCTTAGTGGCCAACGATTGTTGTTGACCGCTAAATAAGGCGCCAAACCACTTGGCTAGCATTTCCGCCGTGACGCCAATGTGCGCCTTTTAAAAAAATGGCTTTAAATATTGAAAAATGTGAAAATTAAAAAAATTACTCAAAGTCAGGGAAGAAACGAAGAGAAAAATATATATACAAAATGAGCTTTTATTTAAAAGTCGTAATGTGCTTTAAATGGTTTCACTTTCATAAATCGAGGAATAATCTTATTGCCAATGATGTTTAGCATCTCCCTTTCTCACAAAATTAACGTTTGAAGTCCTACTTATAAAGAAAATGGTGACATTTTAAATATACGAGTTACTTATACAATTTATTTCATGTTAATTTGAACTGAATATGTGGAAAGGTTTACTGAACATTGACTATGCTTGTGCATGCTATTAACTGCATATTTTGAGTTATTTTATATTAATGTTAAAAAAATTTATTGATCTCTTTGTCATTTATGACAAAAGAGGGATAGTGATCACTTCGATAGGGGGAGAGGGTATAAGTTGAGAGACTATATCATTATATCTTTGCTACATGCTTGGGAAGCAAAAATGTCTGATTGATCAATGTCTGCAATAAGGGAAAGATTGATTGAGTTTCATTGCATTCCATATCATAGCTATTTGAGTTTTTGATGTTCTGTAATATTAATGTTTCGGTTGGTGTTTTAATTGACATTGGTATTACTTCTCATTTTAGCATGCTTATTTATGTTCATGTGCCTATATTGCTATATTTATTGTATTATGTACTTTTATACTCAATATTTGAGTTGTTGATTATAGGAAACAAGTTTAACAGAGAATGCAAGAAACAGAGCTTGAGTAGATTAGATTTTTTGTGTCTTTACTATATTGACTTTAGTTGTATAGTTTTGTTACAATATGTAAAAGGGGGTTTGTTAGGTTTTATATAATTGGCAATTATGGGACCATAATGACTGAAATAAATGTTGTCAAAAGTCAATGAGTTAGTTGAAATATTGCATAGTCAAATTAGGTAGGTTAGGATTCGAGTTCGAAATAAAGAAAGAAGAGACACCGCAATTTCGCTACCCCATCAGCTGGACATTGCTCAAACGTAAAAAACATAAACATTGTTGCTCGCCTATTGGTAGTCTCTCGCTTGAGCGACATACCTGTCGCTCTCTTATCTTAGTTCCTAGCTCCAGCTATAGTGTTACGTTACAAACCCTAGTTCATGTTTTTGAAGTGTTCTATCCGACCCAAATTACCTAAACACCTTCAACTATAAATACCCAAGCCCTTACATGAAAATTGTGTTGTCATTTCATTGTATTGCCTCTCCATATCTTTCTTAAGAAATTCAAGAACACATTCATCCTTTATGATTCAATCATTTGACTCTTAAATTCATACATCCGCAGATTGGGGGAAAAACATCGAATCCATTGAGTCCAAAACACTTTCTTAGTACAACAAGGAATGAACTTTCTTAATTGAACTTCAAAGGCCGTTAGAGATTGAGGGAGGTTGGATTACAAGCACAAGAAAAGTACTATAATTGATTATTCTTGATGACCCACTTGGAAGAGACAATTGTAGGAGATCGGGAAGCTGGTGAAGTCAATCGATCTTGGAAAGTACAGATAGTAGATCGAAAAGTCTAGTGAAATTGGCTAGGTAGCATATGACTATAAATCTATATTGTCTATTGTGGAGGTAACTGACTTGATCCCGGAGTTTTTACCCAGTTCGGTTTCTCCGTCAACAATTACTGTGTTCTTTAGTGCTTTCGTATTACAAACTGTGGTATTCAAATATTGAGAAATTGACTTGTATACTTAATCATCTAAAAACTATTAAAAGTGACTTATTGCTTTTAATAGAATAATTTCACGTGCAAGGTCAAACTAAATCGACTAAGCAAGAATTTTCAAGATGAATACTTTTTTATTTCTTAATATTTATATTCTTTAATATTTAATATTTATTTTTTTTAATTTGTTTATTAATTAAAATACTAAAAGACAATGTAGCACTTCTAAATTGATCAAATTAATATCATACATTTAACTTGGTCAACTAACATATTTTTGGATAAAAATCATCAACTACGGACATTCATTAAAGGTTGAAAGACAATTTTGCATTTTTTTTAGATATGGTCAAATTATGGTCAGATGCTTCAATAGATTGATTTTTGAACGAAAATTGTCTAGATGTATTTTATTGCACATTTTAAAAATTTTTGGGACGTGTCTATTATGATACAGAAGGTTTAGCATTGTACTGCATATATTTTAAAAGTTTGGGACCTCCACTTCAAATCCCCCCTCTTTGTCCACACAACTGAATATATAACGCTAACCCTACCATTACGCCCTTCACAACTAGGGTTTTTCCGCCGAGAGCATTCCCGATACCTCTCTGTTCTCCACATCCGATACTGCGCATATTATTCATATGTACGCACATTAAAAAATGGAAAACGAAGTAGGAAGAGGACCGATATTCATAGACATCAGAAGATATTACTGCCAGTACTGTGGGCTTTGCCGTTCCAAGAAATCCCTAATCTCATCTCACATTCTATCTCAGCACCAGGTATTTCTATATAACAAATTATGATTTCGTATTTTGTAGATTAGTGCTTGTGCTATGCTGTTCGTATTTTTGGTTGATGTTACGAATTTGGATTGCAATTGGGTGTTGTGAAGTGAAATTTCTACTTAAAACTATGGGCATTGGGTGAATTTTAGGAGGAAGTAAAGGAAAAGGAGCAGAATGGTGAAAAAATGGAGAGCAAGAAAACGAATATATGTGAGGAGTGCGGTGCTTCTTTTCAGAAGCCAGCTCACTTGAAACAGCACATGCAAAGTCATTCACTCGAGGTAATTATCAGCCTGGCCAATTGTTTTCTTTATGCAACATCTTACCTTTTTAGCGTGGAAATATTTCATAACGTGCCATGATTACAGATTTTCTACACATGATTGTGCATTATTTCCTATTATGATGCATCAGTCAAACTAACTAAAATAGCACTAATCATTTTACACATTGTGAAATTATTTATAATTAGCTTTTGGAACCATAAGTTCAGATAAGAATTTGAAAGAGAGAAGTTTTAGTCACTGTCTCCAGCAATTATGAAAAAAAGGTTTTTAACATTAAAGCCAGCATATCAAGCAGTTGAAGTACTTTGAGATTGCACTGAGGAGAGGATAATCACATTCTGCTTTAGCATTATTACTCATGCATTATAACTGATATTTTGGTTGATATGCTTTATTGATTTTATGATAAAACTACATATGCAAGTCTTTATAATTCTGTTTAACATGTTTAACTTCTGTAAGTCTTACTAAACTTAATGGAAATGGTTTTTATTTCTGTTATCCTGTCATTTAAAAATGCAAAATGTTGCAGATTGATGTATTTTGGAAAAAAAATTGTGATACATGGGTTGGGCGTGAAGCATTGGATCCCATAGAAAGAACTCCAAAATGCGAGGCAGGCAATATTTCTTGAATGGATTAGTATCAGGTGGGGGACCGCCTGAGAAGCCCCATCAAGTGAGCCTCGATCACGCTTATTCTTCTTCGAGGTTTGAGAATTGTTCTAGTTTATCTATGGAAGTAGAGGTTCCCTATCTTCTGAAAGTGAGTTATACTACTGTTCTTTCTCACAATACACTTTCCTCTACAGAGGCCCTTTACATGTCCAGTGGATGACTGCCATTCCAGCTACAGAAGGAAGGACCACTTGACCAGACATCTTCTTCAGCATCAAGGGAAATTATTTGAATGTCCAGTTGAGGCTTGTAAACACAGATTTGCATTTCAGGGCAATCTGAAGCGACACATGAATGAATTCCATGATTCATCTGCTTCTACTAGCGTTGAGGACCCAAAGGAACACGTCTGTCAAGAAATAGGGTGTGGAAAGGTGTTCAAATTTCTCTCCAAATTGCGTAAACACGAAGAGTCCCATGGTAAGTTGTTAAGGCTTTGGAATTAATAATGAATGAGTTGTGCTACCACTTTTTGAACCTTTGGTGAAACTTCTGGCTGAATGCAGTTAAGTTGGACACAGTAGAGGCATTTTGTTCAGAACCAGGCTGTATGAAATATTTTACAAATGCACAGTGCCTGAAGCAGCATCTTTGGTCTTGTCATCGGCGTATAGTCTGTGAGATCTGTGGGACCAAGCAGCTTAAGAAGAACATGAAGCGCCATCTCCGCATGCATGAATCGGGGATTTCTTCTGAGAGGATCAAGTGTAGTTTCGAAGGGTGTTTGCGTACTTTTTCGACTGTAAGCAACTGCTATCATTTTTTTGTCAAATATGTCAACCCCCCAGCCCCACTTTGTGAATATATAAAATAAACATAGTGAGTTAACTTGTTTCTTTTGTGATTTTTTTTTCCTATTACTAAGATATGCTTCTCTCTGATGCAGAAATCCAATCTCAATCTACACATCAAAGCTGTTCACTGCGAGCTTAAACCATTTAGCTGTAGCATTCCTGGCTGCGGCATGAAATTTGCATTCAAACATGTGAGAGATAATCATGAAAAATCTGGTTGCCATGTTTATTCTCAGGTAAGTTGGGCCGAATCTCCTTATGACTTCACTTTATTCACAATCAGACTTCCCTTTTCCGTTCTATGAGATATCATGGGCAATTAATCTAATCTAATCCTGTTTTCTCTTTCATGTTCAGGGAAATTTTGAGGAGTCTGATGAGCAATTTCGGTTAAGACCAAGAGGTGGCAGGAAAAGAACCAGCCCAGAGATTGAGACTCTAATGCGGAAAAGAGTTGTTCCGCCTAGCGAATCAGATCTCATTAGGCGGGAGGGACCTGAATACCTGTCGTGGCTACTTTCTGGAGATTCATAGGATTAGCCAAATGCTGATTGTATAATTACAGTATCTAGGCAGTTGTATAAGAATCGACAGATTTTGGGTGGAAACATGGGGGCAAAACTGAATGCTGATTGAATAATTACAGTATCTAGGCAGTTGTATAAGAATCAACAGATGTTGGGTGGAAACATGGGGCAAAACTAAGTGTTGCGGGTTTGTCTTGCAATGGCACACATCCGTCCTTGTGGGTAGATAGGAAAGAGACGTGTTACATGTACAGTTTGTTTGACAAAATGCCAGCCGGCAAGCATTCATTGGGCGTTGGACACAAATCAAGATTTAACCAGCAAATGCAGTATTGTCATCTCTTCATCTCTAATGCTTTATGTAATTTCTAGTTGTACAAACATCTTTATTCGATAGGAAATATGCTTCCCCTGCGTTTATGTGTTTTTAATCGTTATAAACAAAATTATTTCTGGTTTTAAAACTGTGTCCTGAAGCTGTACGGTATACAGTTGATGCTAAAAAATATTTTTATCTGTTGCTCTGTTTATGTAAACGAGAGAGAGTAAATGTATTACAAGTTACTTCCATTGGTAGCATGTGGATACAGCACTCCTAGTCGTAGGACAGAAGTTGCACCAGAATTATTTTTTCTTGATATACTCTTATATTAAATAATAATTTAAATATAAATAGTTCGTATTTGACAAGACATTAAATATGGACATATTAGAAAATTAAGAAATCAATTATACTCTCAAAGTGGCCTATAATTTGGGTTAGACAAAAAAGGAAAGTAATAACATATCTTTATGGAACAGATGTAGTATAAAAAATTTGAGTTTTCAGTTCAATATTGAAATAATCAATGTACGTAAGTGTAATCTACAAAAAAATGAAGACGAAAACTTGTCGGTCTCTTTAGGGTGTTGGTGACTTGGGGTATAAATCATGTGTATGGTCGGTTGTGATCAACACTCATCTAGATCTGTTTTATATTTAGATAGAAATTGTGATAGAAGGTTATATTTTCAATGAATTCTATAAATTCTTTTGCTTATCTTGAGCACGATCTACAATTCACAGTCATTCTATTGTCCAACTTCCAATAGAAATCCTAACAAAAAATAAAATTGATAGAACTTGGATTGATATATATTTTTTGTTATTATTATTATCATTATTATTATTATTATTATTATTATGTGCTAACAAGAATATGAACTGTATTTTCTTCGAAATTTTCAAATCATGACAACCTATTAACATAAGTCCAAGTGGACTTGGCTCGTCTTTTAAACTTAACTCGGTTCAATATTTAATTAATTTAATTAATTAAAGTGGAAATTACAAGAATTCCTAGTGTTAAAATCATCTATTCTAAAATTGGGAAGTTTCATGTTTAAAAAACCAGATATTAGATATTAAATATTAATTATACAAATTTCATTTCAAAACCCTAATCAATTTATTTTCCTCTCCATCTTCCTTTCTCCACAGCATCTTTATCAGCGTCGCACCCACCCTCATATTCCGGTACCTGAACCACCACTCATTCAACGGCGACAGGTGCAACACTTCTCCTCCTCTCCCTTCTTCTCTCTTCCTCAGTCTCTATTCTTTTCTTCCCCTCCCCGGTTCTGAAACCACCCTCATCGATGGTGGCAAGGCATATTGGAGCAGTGAGGTGACGTTGCTCGCGGCTCAGTGAGCTCGAAGCTGATTTTGCTCGATTTGCTTTGTCGCCTGAATTTTTTTTTTTATTCCATCTATTGTGCGATGGTGCGGTGGTCAGCAGTGGTAGTGGTCGTGGTTGTGGCGGGTGTGGGATGGCATAAAAGATGCGATTTGGTTGTGGTGGTTGTAGATTTGAGCTGAAGAGCATAATGGGTACTGATAGTTGTTGGTGGCAGCTGTGATGGTGATGGTGTTTGTGTGGTGGCGCTATTGTGGTGGTGGCAGATCTAGTGGTTGAGGTCGGTCTGCAATGTGGAGCGTTCATAGCGCCCGTCTGCAGTGGTTTTGTGGTTTGAGTTTCTCTGTTGGTGGAGACTAATGAAGTGATAAGAGATTTTGGGTGGCGATGGTAGACAGTGGTGGTCGTGGTAGTGGGTGCGGTGGTGAAGGTGAGATGTTGGTGGTCGTGGTCTGTCGAGGTGGATGTGTTGATTTGTTTGAGATATTGTTGTCGGGTGGTGGTGGTTCTGATGGTGGTGGTGGTGCTATTGTAGGCAATGGTTGTCACAAGTGTCGATGGTGGTCACATACTATTTGGTTGATTGTGTAATTGTGACATTAAATTGGTTAATCTATGATCAACAAACAATGTGATCAGTAAAAAGGATAAATTATGACCTACAAAAATAATAATTTATGGCATACTAATAAGTTATGACCTATAATATTTGTGATATGTGACTCATATATAAATTGTGAGATATAAATTTTTAATTTGTGACCGATGATCAAATTGTTATCTACAAAATTTTTGAATTGTGACTGTAAAATAATTTATGACATTTAAATTTTTTTATTTTTGATCAAAAAATAATACGTGGCTAAGTAAATTGTAAATTCGTGACCAAATTGTATAAATCTATGACCTAATATATTTAATTAATAAAACATATAATTAATTAATTAAATTATAAATAAATTTTAATGAATATTAGATTTTTAAAATTTGAAACTTTTATTCTTACTTCTTAAATGGGCAACAATTATCCTTTTATGAAATTTTCCCACTAATCAAATTTGGTCCATGAATTAATTTGAAATTATTAATAAGCAATCCAATTAATTAATTATTCAACGCTTGTTAGTTAATTAATTGGTGAATCTCATTTTTCTAGTTCTCCTTTTATGCGTGACCCATTAGGTTCTTGATCACGATATCTAACGACGCGAATTATTATTTTGATCTAATTAAAACGATAAATTAAAATACATTTTTTTTATTTATCACCAATTCACGTCCGTTGTCTTAATTGACATCTAGTAATGTGTCAAGGTAAATATATAACAAGAAATGTCATGTGGTATGACAAAACCTTATTCGTTCACAGTGAAATTATAATCCTCTTATCAACATGATCCGAATCAATTACGAGATATGGATATGTGTCATTCTCAATTATCGATTATATTTTTCATCTCACTATTAAGTCAATGTAAGTCGAAAACTTCTTTTCGTTTCATGATACACTTTAATCAAGGATTTTGTTATCAACTTAACTGAATGAGATATAGATCATAACCTCTTACCATCCAAAAGTAACGAATTCTCTATTGATCATTCACAATCTTTATATAATTTTTAACATATCCGAATAGCGCCTTATTAATGATCCTTGGTAGAACA